GGAACCTTGAGACTTTTGAGAAGCTGCCCTTCAGCCTCCATATGTTTTACCAACAGTAAGCATAGCATACTGGTTTTGCACAAAGAGAAGGGAACAGGACACAGATTAATATGTTCAAGGCCCCTCTACCCCCACATGATCTCGGTGAGTGAGGAAATAGGAAAGCAGGAGAGCAAAGAAGTTCCATCACAGCCCTCCAGATCTTACATGAGTCCCCATTACTCGCCTCTGTGAATGCTTAGGGAGCAACCAATCTGACTTGAGCCCCCAGTCCAGCCTGTGTGCCCAGCCTTGGCACTCTAAGCATTACACAGATTCTTTGAGGATAGAATTTAGGGTCAGACACCTCACAGTGCAGACTCAGTGCCTTTGACATGGTAGGTGGTCAAGAAAATTGTTGAATGAATGAACCAATAAATAGGTAATGAATGATTGTATCATTTTATGCCCTATCAACATCTGACTTAACCACCACATCATTGTCAGCTTCCATTGCCATCTTTAATTATGAATTAAAGGCAAAAATTAGACACTTTGGTTTATTTTTCTAAGCAAAGGACCCTCAACTTTTCCACCAAGAATCTGGATCTCATTCGCATTTTTAAAACTAGTTCCTTACCTATGTCTGTTTAAACTTTCTCTTCTAGTATCATTTAAGAGTCACATGCAATTGTAAAAAAATAATGTAGACCCTCCATCACCCCCTTTGCATTGGTAACATCTCATAAGTTTAATATAGTCTCACAACCAGGAAATAGATGTTGATACAATCCGGTGAATTTATTCCAAGTCTACCAATTCTATTCGTGTATGAGCTCATGTAGACATTAATGACACGGATCCTTTCAAAGCCAAAAATATCACAGTTTTTTAAAAAAAAAAAATCTGCCTTTAAAATAGTGAACTCCCTTTTTAGTGAATCATTTCTAAAACATTTTGACTTGTTTCTGTTTTCTGTATTTGGGGTATCCAACTTAACTGCCTGCTCTCGAGGTCATAAAGTGTACTTTTTTGCCACATGTACTCTGCAAGTGAACTAGCAGCAGCTGCAGCTGAAATTGTACCTCTTCTCCTTCCTACCCTCCCCACACTCGCCCTACTTCTCTGAGTGTGCAGGTGTATACACACACACACACACACACACACACACACACACGACAGATTTTCTGCTCCTTGCCTTTTTTTATGCCTGAATACCTTGCTGACAAGCGCTAATAACAAAATACCCAGAGAGAGTCCAGTTGAAGTTAGCATACATTAAACATTCTGAACTTGTCCTTTTGCTCATAGATTGTGCATAATTAATAATTAAACAGTTTCAGTTGTAATGGGTTGACCTTCCTGAACTGTTCATTATTCACATGGCAAAGGCATCACTCAAACTTTTTTCCCATTGTCCTTCGCTGTTCTCTAGAGTGCCGCCTGCTTGTGTTCCAGTTGTTTAGCAAAAGGGGCTGACCAGGTAGTTACTGAAACCTCCGAGACTTGGAGACTGTCCTCCTTGATGACCAGAATTGCTTACTGAGATGGTTTATGGCAGCTGTTTTTATATAACAGTTGCCTGCTCGGTAACAAGATCCAGCTCGTGTCCCTTCAGCAGAACTCTAAAGTTGATTTGGGACTAGAATCTCAGGTTGGGGCTTTTGGTTAAGATTGTGTCCACTGTTTCATTCCACACCACCGTGCTTAGAAGTTCAACAGAAAAGCATCCCTCAAAAAGCCCTTAGGGGGAAATATGACGCCCAAGGTCTTAAAGAGAGTGACTCGTATTAACAATTTAGAGTCGGTTTCAGCCAGTACTAAGAGTTATTAGTGTAACTGCTTCTCCAATTTGTGTTCATATTTTTGAAGTGTATTTCTTTATCTTGCCCAAACCCATATTTCACAGAGAACATTTTTGATCAGAGCAGCAACTACTTCACCAGATCCTCTGAACTCATGTGTTCTCTGTCTCCCTCTAACCCCATGGTGACTGGCTGCTCTCCCTCCCAGGAGCTGCAGTGAAACTGGAGCAGCTTCACTCTGAGCCTGCCTCCCTCCTTTGCACAGATTTGAGTTACATAACGACATTGGCAGGTTTGGCGGTTTTTTTACATCCTGATCTAAACTAACTTCTAAATGTACTTGCTTGAAAATAAGACAAGTATACTTTAAAATGCTCCGGGGTGGTGGACAATGGTGGGTCCGTTCACTTGCTTTCCTCTGGAGTGATAACAGCCTGCGTGCTTTTGTGGAACTGGAGGCTCTCAGAGAATCTCTTTGCCCCCATGTCCGTGTGCGGCATTCTGACCACAGGCAGCCCCCTAACCCCACCAGTCAGTCCTCTGTGTCTTGGAAAATTCTCCTTTGAGGGCTGCAAGAGACATGGATTTTCAAATGAAAAGAAATCTGGCATTATGCTTGTGAGATTAGAATTTCCTCCTGCATCTTTGGTGAGTGATTCTTCCCAGGCACCTCTGAGATGAGAATCCAGTCTCTGCAAAGTCGACTTGGGCTGGCATTTTCACAAGTAAAATAAATTATTCATGGATACCACCCAGTGTTCCTTAGTTTTATATTATGAGAAACGTAACAGGCTACAATGTCAGGTCTTAAATAAAATTAACTACCCATGCAAAGATGTCACATTTCCTTGTTTTGTTTCTCATCCATGTTAAAATGACATCTTCATCAAGTGCCCTGGTCTATAATTCATTAATTTACTCTTGGTATCATCCTTTGAAATGAGCCCCACATTAGCATCATGCTGTATACCAGATCTTTGTAGAATACTAGTCTGGAATGTTAACCATCTTGGTAAATATTCAGCCACATTAAGACAGTAGGCTTTTCTTTCCCTCAGCATTGCACTTTAAAACCTCTAGTTCTCAGACACTTCCAGTGCTACAGCCTCCAAAGTATTTCAGTAAGAAATGACCTAGAGAACTGACTACCTGCTCAGAGTCCATAATTTTTGTACCTCAGACTTTGAACTATCTCTTTACTCATAGTTTTTGAGATAGTGAAATGTCATTTCTTAAACTGGGCCTTGTAGAATCTGCAGACTTGGTGATGTATGTAGCTTTCCCAAAACCGGCTGGGCTAAATTGATATTATGTTTTATTTTGGCTCTTCAAACCGATGGGACTTCTGTGACCATTTTATAGTACCTTTATCGAGAACTTGTCATGTTATTGTGTGCCTTGTTTCTTTTGAGTGGGCTATTTCATCAGCCCCCGTTTTTCATGTCCTCTCTCTGTAATGCCTGCATGTAATCCTTTGAACTTGGCAAGATTTTATTTCCCTCCCATTTTCCTTTGTTTTCCTTTCCTCTTGGAAGCCCCTCTCTACCAATGAGAATTTTAAGCTTAAAATTAGTAACCTTCCCTTCCTCTGGCTGAGTGGAGTAAATGCGAAGAGGATAGATATGCAAAAACTAAGAAACATTTTGTTCACAGTCCTTTTCTTTTAACCACTTCGTGGGGTTTTTTGGGCACTCTGACCCCCTCGGTTCCTTTTGATCGAATTGTATATTCCAGCAGTTTCCAATTGTTTGAATTGGAAACAAAGCCTTAATAAGAGTTCTAGTTAATTTTCTGTCTTGTAATTACCGATCTCATTTTTCTGATAATTGGCCACAGCAATTATATGTATATTTACTAATCACATAGGAGGCTGTGCAATTGTATCTATCTGCCACCATTGATAATGACACGCATATTGCAGAGGTGCTTTTATCATCTTCTTTTTTCCACTACATCAAAGCTATTTCCTCTCGTTCTCAATAATGAATACATGCATGCATTTGACACAGTTGTGTGCTAGAGAAATTGTTTGGCTCCCACCAAATGCTGCATGCTCTGAGTTTCTTGCCTGCAGCGCTGGAAGGTTGTATGTAATGATATATTGCTCATCCAAATGGCCAAAGCACTCCAAAGCACAGTGAGATTAAAATAAGTCATTCCTTTGTTAATTTAAATAGGTGCATGTATCATACTTTGCAGGGCACTTTGTGTAGGGATGTCAGGGAGGAAAAAAGCCGCCGAAAGGTATTTTTAATAGCAAATGAGAATAGATGAGAATGGAGTCATTTGCAGCTGCCTACTTTATGTGGCTCTCTTGTTCCAACTGTAGGTCTAATGAGATGACTGTTAAAGTACTCTGCAGTGTAATTTCATTACATCCTGAGCCGTTACACTATAAACACAGTGGCGCTCTCTGTCATTCTTGGAAAAACTCCTAAATTCTTAAAGCCTTCCTTTGCAAATGGTAATGGGGTTTGCTCCCTGTGTTACCCAGTGGTTGTGGTTTGTTGCTGTGTTGCTTCCTGTTTTTTTCAGAGTGAATCCACCGCTCCCCCAGTTGTGCTTGGTGATCAAGGTGGGAGTTTTTTTAGTGTGCCCTTAATCACTGGCTTTCTCATATGATGAGTTTGCCTGGACTGGTAAATAGGCTGAAATTTCTTTTCAGGTAACAGCTTCCCTTATAAAAGACTTTCTGTTAAAGTGGAGGGAAAAAAATCTGACCCAAATAATTCTGTCAGGGACAAGCAGTTAAGAGCAGTTGAATATACAAATAAATGTAAATAAAAAGGAAAGTGTAAATAAATAGCAAATCCAGGAAAAGAAACAAAGGTCAACACAAGAATAATTTCACAGCTCTTTGTTAATTACAAGACCATTTGTGTGTTACTTAAATAATCATTAATTTCTCATTTACACTTTCGTACCTTCTTTCCTACCCTGTGGCTATCATTGTCCTTTTTTCACCTCCCCTCCCTCTTTGCTCTCATGTTTCTCGCCATAGTGAAATGTGTGTGGCTTTAAATTTGGCATTTGTACATAAACATATTGAAGAGGGTGTAGACAGTCTTTTTAATTGGATGAGGCCTTATTTTCCTTTCTACTTGATAGTGAATTGTTCTCTATTCATCTTTACTCTCTTCATTGGGGGGCGGGGGGGTATAAAGAAAGAAAAGGAATTGTTGTGACTTTTGGTGACTTGTTTTTCCTCCATCCCAGGATTCGCCTGTCCTTCCGGTTGGAGAGTTCTCCGAGCCATTTGTACATTTCATCACTCAGTGGTGAGCCTGTTTGCAAACATGCCATGCCCTCAATGTAAATGATACATGCCATTAACTCGGCGGCTCCGTGAGACCTTATGGCTCTCCCTGCTTCCTTTTGGAGACGGGAGGGACTTCGGGGCCTTGGGCAGATGGGGCAGCAAAGCTGAAGAAATTGTTTAAATTATGTAAACGTTATTTACACAAAGGATCGTAAATGTAATGTACTTCAGAGGCTGTTTCCTGTTCTAATAAACTGCTACAAGTCAGGCTACTTCTTTGAGTACAGACACTATTGCTATCCAATTTTTTTTAAAGAAATACACAATTTTATAGCCCTATTGAACAGGCATATGACGTTTATTTTTATTAATGTAACCTCAAGTTACCCATAAAACTGTCTGTCACTTAGTGGAAGCAGCATAGTTTATTAATTCATCGGATTTTCAGTAAATAACTTTTATCTTATATATTAAAAGTAACACTTGTGTCCCATATCAGTGAATTTTGATGTTTGAAAGATTATGAAAACATAGTTCCATTAGGCACACTTTAACCATTCAAGAATTGAGAGTAAAACCACAGGATTTAGATGAAAGGGGTGCTGAGCAGCTCGGAGCAGCCCCTTGTCATTTTACACCTGAGGAAACAGGCATTTTTCTGCCAAGGATTCTTTTCCAGCCTTCTGCCTTTTTCCTCCTCATTGAAGAATTTTCCTTTATTACCCCTTTCACATCATCCACCTCTCCCCCTATGCAGCGGGACTTGTGTGGCCTTGAAGGCCCAGTTGCTCCACTGCCCATCTTGTGCCCTGTCAGAGAGAGAGAGAGAGAAAGAGAGAATGAATATGAAGAGGAACGACCACCCCAAAGCAGAACTAATTAGAAACTGTTGTGGACATTCTGGAACTCCTTTCTAACTACCTTTTTCTTTCCCTCCTTCACTACATACCTCATTTCAAGTTCCTGTGGTACCACAATTGGTGCAATCAGGAGACCTTTTGAAATTGTTCCCCACCTCTTCCCCCATGATCCTTGTGCTGATTACACTAAAGTGAAACAAGAAATATTCCTTAATATAAATGTCAAGTTTTATCACCTTTTTGACTAAGTGTAATATGTTACCTCTTAATAAAAATGTCTCATACAGTTTATATTCCATAGGAAAATTTGTGAGGAAGAGATCCCCGACTTTTAAAATTTTATTAACATTTTCATTTATTTAAAATACTTACATTCTGTAGATCTCAAATGCTGTTTTCACTTGGCAAACATTTTCTTTCCGAGCATGCCATGTTAGGGGAAAAAAGCACCCATATTGGTTAAACACTGGATCCTGAGCTCATTAATATTGTTAGAGCCATTATCCAGAAATATGTATTAATCTCTCTTAATTTCGTTAACATGGAATTCCTAGAAGCACATCGTGGGAATACCCTGTTTTGAAAAGCAGACATTGAAAAGCAAACCGTGCGACTCTTGTGCTGCCCAGAGTGCCTGCTTTGGCCATCGCCCACCCCAGAGATGTGGGGTCTGTGATGAGACCCCGCACTTATCCTGCAGTGTGGTCTGAGGCCAGCCTGGGGGTGGGGCCAGTTCTGGGCAGACAGGGAGAGTAGCAGATAATGCTGTCTTCCTCCTGTCCAAAAATTAATCAGCTGTTATGTAAAAGTTTTACGGAGACAGAGGGAGAGATAACCTGTGTTGAAATTTCCACAGATGTCAAGCAGAAACAGAAATGATAGTGGGTAATAGCCTTGTTTTCCCAAGAGATACAGCTACTTTGGAATGTCAGATTAGGACTGTTACCAACTCCACTGGCGAGACAGCTTGAATTACTTGCTAATGGATGCAGTATTTGAGAGGTGCATATGGTTATTTATAGGGAAGGCAAATGTCCTCGATGTCATTAATGGTTCATAACTATGGTTCTTGTTTACCAAATGATTGTTAAATCTCTCCACTTAAAAAAAATACCGTTCAGCAAATGCAGAGATTATGTGAAGTGTAATCTTCTTGTTAGAGTTTGCCTTATATAAAGAACAAACATCTGTGTGGTTTTCCAAGTAAGAGAAGCAGCCATCTCTTTTCATGACTTCATCCCACAGATGCTGTGAGATTAGTATAAATATAGCTCTCAGGTAGTCTGCCCCAGTCACCTCCACGCCCACATGTAGGTGCTTTAACTCACAGCTAAGTATATATGCTGCAGCCACTAATTACACCAAGTGCAAGTAAGAGAAGGAATATTTTGCATGAGGAATGTGACTCTTTAAGCAGATTAAACAAACTTAACTTCCTCACAGCTGGAATTATCAACTTGCATTATAACCAAAAGTTACAAAAGTCAGAATAAAGTAATAACCCTGTTTGTTCGTTTTTTTGTGGCATTATCTAGATTCCTGACCTCTTTTACATATTCCTCGTCATTTGGAGTTCTAATGAAGGAATGAAATATTTTCTCTTTTGATTTGAGAGGCATGTTTCTTAATGTCTTCATATCCCAATTACCAAAACAAAGTGTATTGTTCCCTAACTTTGAGTTTGAAATGAATTGATAACTGAATCAAGAAGACAATATTAATGCTTTTTTTACATTCATTGCAAAGGTAGAATTAGAGTAAATTTAGATTCATTCTTTATCTGTATTGCAAGAGTAACTAAAAAAATTATCTTTGTTTCTGATTCATGATATCCCCCAAAATCTGATTAATTAAAGATCACAATAACTGAAAGAGAACATATGCTAATATTTTGGCCAAGAATTGAACATGCTGAATTTTGACAACATTCAGATTCAAGGAGAAATAGTTAATGGTAGAAAATTGTAGCACAAATTTACAAGTGATGTAGATGAGTGTTTTTTTCCTTCTGTAGCATGCGAAAACAGCCAAAAGAAAGACCTGCACCTGAAGAATTGATGGTAAGTAAATGTTTTTGACTTACATTAGAATTCCCCAGTTATATATCTGTGTTTAACATTCTGTTAAAAGAAACAGAATAGAATTAGAAACATCCAGAGACTCTGGAGAGACATTATTTATTCCACGTGGGTGTTTTAGAAACTCTTACCTCACAGTAGTTTTCACTTTCTAAAAACCAACCACCACTTTGAAACTAAATGCAGACTCTCTCCCTATGCCTCACTGAAGGGTCACAACTTAATCTAGGTTATTCCTTGTCCTCGTTTGCTACTGCAGCCTCTCAGCATTCAGAGGGTTGGTAACACAGAAGACAGGCAGCATATTAAGTCTTTAGTGGAATCCTACAGGAAATTCTGAGTGTGGCACAAAGTTCTCTTGGATTCACGTAGAACGAAATTAGATTGGCTGCAAAAGATCAAGTTAATGTGAATCTTTGGTCTCTCCCCAGAAAGAGACACCTACAAGGCTGCTGGTGCTGTTTTCTCAGCTCCAAGGCCGCTTTCTTTGATTGCAAATGAGTTTTTAGTCAAGCAGAGAGAGGAACAGAGATGCTCCCTAACAATTCCCAAATGGTCATTTATTTAGTGCAGATTGTTGATTTGACAATACACAAGCTGTTAGAATAACGTTAGGATGGAGCATTAGTAAATAATAATTATAGTCTACTCTTTCTAGTGTTTTGCATACCATTCCTTGACTTTAGATGATTGCAGTCAGAGCAAATTTCAACCCGTTTTCTTTCACCACTTTAAACAATGTGTATTTTACAGAATCTGCTTTAGAGGTTTATAGCCTTTGTGTCCCATCCTGATAAATACTCTTAAGTGCCCAAACATCTGCATAATACAGATTTCATCCCCAAATATAACAGTGCATTTCCCTTTTGTATCATGAGTGCTTTCTAGAAAGGTAGTTTCCTCCATCATATTCCTACCTATGGAGCAAAATCTCTGTTGCCAGGGTAGTTTCAAGTTAAAGTTCACCCTTAACACCTCTGCAGTTTATAACTGTGCAAGTTTCATGTCTAGAATAAATTGGTCTTTTTTTGAGGGGACAGGTCTCTGTTGGTTGGAAAATTCTTGCAGTTAGTCACATTTGAGAAAACTTGGAACAGGTTCCAGAGATGGAGACCCATATATCTTGTACATAATTATGCCATGGCTAGATGGCTCTGCTATTAAAACAAAGGAATAGGATTTCTTAAAATAGATGTGTTTATAAATGCATGTTTCAATGCAGCAATGATTTGGCTACTTACAAATAAAATAACTGCAGATCATACATGCATTCATAAGTACATACAGATGTATGTGTTGGTAAGAAACATCATTCTAGGGTGTTTATCTGGGGTGGCAAGTCATAAAGACCAGTCTAACGGGTGAGTACTTTCAGTGCCTTGCAAGCAAGAATACCAGGGGCTGTGCGTGCAGAGACAAGGGATGCATATTTTGTTATCTCTTTTACATCTGTATGCCCTGGTGTATGCTGTCCCAGGTTTTTAATTAATAAATATCAATAAATCAATAAGATACAATGAAATAAATATTTAGCCGCAGGAAGTATCATTCTATACTTAATTTAACATTATTTCTAATACCACTCAGTTTGATTTAAATGAATTTATTCCTTTGGTGAGGGCCCTGGGCTTAGTAAAGGCTTGGTGAGGGGGCGGGAAACAGTGGACTGTGTGTGAACCTCCATTGGTCAATGGGATTGAGCTCTGGCTGCCACTGGCCAAAATATCAGGAATGAAAGTAGTTTGTCCCTGACTTAGAAACCTGAGTCACATCGTGGGGACCCAATCTTAAGGAACCAGTCTCTTTATTCCTTCCAGCATATTAAAGGCTTTATTTTTTCCTTTTCCCTCTCTGCATTCAACCTATTTGATGGTTTGCCCATCTAGAAGCTGAGAGCATGCTCTGGATTGCATGAGCTGTGGGATCCATTTGTCACTGTGGTTGGGGGCCTCCTTTCATAAAAAGAGCAGCTTATCTCCCATGCACACTACATCTAGCCAGGGTACCTGTGTGGCCTGGGCCATATCAACTATGAAACCTGCAAGGTTGTCAAGGTGCTTCTTATGGGCCTGCAAATCAAAGCAAGAACATCTGAGATGGTGTTGGGTAGAAATACTGAAAGTTACACCATCAGGGAATGCTTAGATAAACTCCAGGTGTGGTCCTGACCACAGGGGAACACAGAAAGCCCCAGCCTGAGTAAATTAAAGCACATGGAGTGATGGGCCAGATCACCTTGCAGCAGGCCTGGGCCAAGCACACACCAGACACTCATACAGGTTTTGTCTTGTTTGGTGGATCCCCTTATATATCTGAATACCCATATCTTAAGATCATCATCTTTGCAGTTTTTGACCATGTCAGTCTTAAAGTAAATGTAAAACTCTAGACTCTTCAAACCATTGCAATCCCAATGTCAGAACTTATTTAGTTGTTTGACTATTGATTCTCTCTGCTTTGCATGGTTGTTCCTGGGATGGTTATCAGTTTTTATGTCCCAAGTGAAAGTATTTTAAATTTGGACCAAGAGAGTCTCCCAATGGTCACATCTTGGGGAGGCCACAGTTCACAAGAGCTGGTACAGTTGTCTGGCATGTAGCTGTTAGACAACATAAGGAATTCACTCGAAATATCCCATCATCATCTTGGGAAGTCTCAGAACAAGGTAAACAACTGAATTCCTCAACTTTGCTCAACTCAGTAGAAGATTAAAGAAAAATATGCCACATGTATATGGTCTTACATGAGGATGTGGCAAGTATTCCTATAATTAGAATAAAATAACTACTATAAAAGAATGTGGGGTTCCATTTGGAGAAATAGGGAAAAACTAAGTGGAGAAGGTAACATTTGAGAAAGGGCCTTTGGAGAATGGATTACATTTTAATAGTTTTCAAGGGATGATTCCAGACAAGAGAAGCAGGGTAGGCAAAGCATGAATGTAGGGAGACCCCAGACATTTTCAAAGCAGTGTGAAACCTCTAGTGCCTGCTGGAACAGAAGTTTCTTTGACATTGGCCTTGTGGACTCACTAAATAACATAATTCACCACCAACTGGGCAACCTGTTCAGAAATCCCACTTCTATAGAAGGAAACCTAGTGTCCATGTCTGAAAACTGACTTGTCACAGGAGCAGCACACCCACCCACACCTAACTTTTCTTGACTGACTCTTTTGAGTGGACTCCCATTCAAGTGTAGGGAAGTTCTAAATGCTTGGGGAAGTCTGACCTTCCTTCCATTCTTTAAGAGCTGTTGCAGCTTTACAACCATCAATGGAAAACCAGCCATTCAGGTTGCCAAGAACATTCAGCGTGCTGACACCATCAGATAGGAACCCCGCACATCATCTTCCTGCTCCTGTGATAGTGAGTTCATTGCCAGGCCCCCTTCTAAATCACCTTGATATAAATCACAGGAAACACCCATGTCAGGGCTGCCCCAGCTCTGTTATGTAGGACAAGCAAACTTAGGAAAAGGTGTCCAGGCTATAGAAACTCTGGAGGTGACAGGATGTTCAGCAGTCTTTAGGCAACCAAGAAGAGGTCACAGCTTATGTGGGGAGAAGCCAGCTTCTGCCAGTAGGAAAGGATTTGTTGGGACTGCAGCAAGAGGGGAGAGGATGATAATACAAAGATGATGGAAAGTTCTCCCAAAATGTCAACCAGATTGAGAGAAACAGCAAAGTAAAAGCAGACCCTTAACTCGGGGACAGAAAGACACCCTGCAGTGGGAACATTGAGAGAGAGAGATTGCAGGCTAGTTTTGCTATTCAAAGTATATTACAATATTTTTAAATAAAGGGAGAGAGAAGCATTATTGTAAAGACCATTTGCTCTTGTAAACCACAGAGAATTTTTTCTGCAAAGTTACTGTCCTTTGGGGTTCTTTTGTAGCTAAGGTCAGGCTGCAATTAGCAGGGAGAGCCTCCACACTTCCTTCCCTTGTCAGCCACTCCCCACTTCAGTGTCTCCATCTACAAAACTAAAGGGGTGGATTAGATCAGCTGTCCTTGACCTAGGGTCTGTGACTTCAGTAAGTCTGTTAGAGCCCCTGAAATTACATCCAAACTTGTGTATGGATTTGAGGATTTGCATTTTTTTTTTTCCTGAAAAGAGGAATTCATGGCTGTCATTCGTTTTTCAAAGGGGACCATGACCCTAAATGATTGTAAAGCTCCCTGGCTACCTTCCCATTCTGTTAGTTAGAGCTCTGTGGCCAGGAGCGGCTGAACAGCTCAGGGGGGCGGCATTCTCTTGGAGGGGGCGAGCTTGGCGTGGGGGAGGGAATGGAAGGGCCCTCCCTGTGGGACTCAGCGGGGCTTCCCACCAGCTGTCAGGCAGCCCTTTAACCTCCCAGCCTATCCTGAATGTGGGCCTTGACTCCAGCAGAGAGAGTGGGCCGTGGGCACCTCTGCAGTTACAATTTGGGTTCAGAGTGCTGTAGATCCTTCTATGCATTTAGAGTATTTCCAGAAGCTTTCCATGTCTAAGCTCTATTTAATGGAATCTATGCATAGTAAGTAATCAGGTCAGAAGAAGCAGCATCCCGGTTTGAGATCAATCGCTGGCTAATACTTTATCTAGGCCACTTTATTATCTCATGCTGATCCGATTCCCATTCTCCTCCTCCTTTGTAGCATGCACTTCAGCTGTGGTAAAAAAAAAAAAAAAAAAAGTACGTATCACATACATATTAAAAACATATACCCATTCTATCTGTATGTAAATTCGTGAGGCACAGCTGGATATTGCAGAGGAGTTTGATTTACTAATAGTTATTATCTGTTCTAGCTGTTCAGTGGCAGGGAGAATTTCACAGAAACAAGCTGGCGCAGAAATTGTCTTTATGCTATTACTATACTGCTTTAGTAATTGTTTAAAAACATGGGTTTTCCCCTTAGTTTCTAATAATGCCTGTTATTTTGTGCATTTCCTTGTACATTCCAGAGCAGGGCGTCCTCGTTTAGCATTTCCTTAGGT